ACGAAACAAGGCAGAAGAAAAGTCTATAGCTATAAAGGAGAGAAAGAAGAAAATTGTAACAAAAAAGAAGAAAGAAGTTGCAAGATATTTGGGGGTCTGGCTCATATCTGCAGAACCCAAGCAATTAATTATGAAGAAATTAGGCTATGAAATTAACAAATAACCAATTTACTACTTAGAAAAAAGATCTCAATAGAACATGTTAAATATATAAACAATATAGTAATCATTCCTCAAGCAGAATACAAACTTAATATGATAATGCTTATCAAAAGAGATTGTGATAAACTACATCAACCAATTTTATGGATTGCAAAATGGAAAGCAGAAATGGCCTCAACTGTATTTAATTTGATCCTGACACAATGAGATATATGGGGAATTAATTCTTTATAGCAACATCACACAGAATACATGATCTCAGAATGGGTAGTAAGAATAAATAACCCAAACCTGGTAGATGATTTTACCAGAATGAGGTTAAAGGAGGCGCAGCTTATACTCAGATCTACAGAGCCGGTATGGATCCTACCAAGTGAAGAAATAAAGCTTTACAAATAGAAAAACAATCTCAATACAGCTATATTAGCAGCAGCAAAAGAATTAGAGATTAGTATAAAAAACTTTAATTAGAAAGAAAGCTAGAACATAGCTCCAAGAAATGGTCCAATAAATGAACTTCGAGGGTTAATCCACAAAAAAGATCTGGAAAAAAGTAGTTTAAGCCTTAAAAAATTAAATATCTGGTATCTAGAACAGATAGTTTTACGATATGACAATACCATGCTTACTTGGCAACAAATCCGTAGAGCAAGAAATGTATCAACAATAGGATGAGTACTCCTTTGGTTTTAAAGATTGGAAGAGACAGTAATTATGAACAGAGCCTTACGAAAAGTCAAAGAGTTCATAATATAAGGAAATGTGATAAATGAAAGACAAATAAAAACAAAAAAGAGAAAAATATCACACAAAAAATCAAAAAAAGAATGGGTACTTGGAACCAAAAAAGAAAACAACTCATGCTTTATTGGAAAAATCCAAAAGAAACTGCCAAGTGGAAAGGTTCAAATACTAGAATGGGATGAAGAAAATAAAGAAAACCTATTTCATATAATCCTTTTCAATCTAGAACTAACCCCCACCTCCAATATATTAAAAGCAAAAGATAGTAATCTAGAAGATATAAGCCTGTGGATCAAGAGAAAAAATAAAGGGGGCTGGACTTCATATATTGGTTTAGAGCATCTAAAAGACCTGGTTGCTCCAGAAGAAGAAGATCAAGATAGAATAGAAGAAACAAAAATAGCGTACCAAATATATACAGAAGATTGGGAAACTTACTTAGTTAAAAATACTATAAAAAACAAGTCTGAATATCAGGAACTAATACAAGCAGTGAAAGCAAACCAGGTATATAGAGAAATATTGTACTACACAGATAGCTCACTTGGAGGAGAAGGGATAGAAGATCATAAAGCAAAGTATGATATAATACAAATAGACAGAAAAGGTAGTATAATAAGAGAATTAAAAGGTAGAATTCAAGGGTGGTTCTCGTCTACTAGATTAGAACTTATAGCAATCCTGGGGCACTGCTAATCTCACCAACCAACTGCAAGATAAATATTTTTACAAACAGTCAAGCAGCAATTCAAGCAATAGAGAGAATTGAAAAAACTAAAAGCACAAGATCATGGTACAAAGTTAAAAACCCAAGCATACTAGGAGCTATTGCAAAAAATATATCTACTAAGAATTTAGATATTCGGCTATTCAAAGTCAAAGCTTATGCAGATGATATATTAAATGATTTAGCAGACAAAGTAGCGAAGAAAGGCTTTAATGAAATAGAAATAACAAACATTGGTATAAATGAGACCCAGGATATAATTCTTAGACCAATTTGGAAGAATAGTGCAATAGAAGCTCCAATCCGCAGCTTTGTTAAAAATATTACTTATATATTTCACAAGATTAAATGGTTATTTGCGTACAATACCAAAGACACAATCCACTAGTGAAGATCTATAAAGCAGAATTGGAAAATCTTTAAGAGCCTGTAGAATAAAGAAAGGAAGGAAAAAAGAAGAACTTTTAAATCCAACAAAAGATGGAGTTTTAGGCTCAAAAGCTTAAATGGACTGCTTTCTATACTTAATACCCATAAAAGAAATTGTCAAGATCTTTATCCATCAGCTATATATATAAAGTGTAGACAAGAGGAAGAAACCTATTCACTTGTAAGTCCGATATAATGAAGTGGGTAAATAAAGAGCAAGAAATAGCAAAAGAAATATGGAACAGTCTAGATATATATATAAAAAAGAAGCTCTCACCCATCATCTTGTGCCAAGTCCTTATAGATAAAGGAAAAGAAGAAAATCTACAAAAAAGAAAAGAAATAGCAAGAGAGCTAATTAAGTCAGAAGTGTTAACCTTACTCCAATCACTGAATATTCCTAAGCGAAGCTCAAAGGCAATTATATTGAAATGGTAGAACAAGTGGCACTCATTCTTCCAAAATATAATCTGGTTACAAAAATGCGACATAGTAGTAAACTGGGAAAAGGAGCTACATATTGATCTCAAAGAAAAAAAAGAAAAAGAAAAATATCCTAAAGAGCCTTAAATCTTGAAGAAAAAGAGGGAAGAACTAGAAAATCCACCATCTACCAGTGTAAAGAAAGATATGAAGGAAAAGAACAAATTGAGGTGTTGGAATAAGTTCAAAGAAAGAGTGAATATAATGATAAAAGAAGTAGATAGATGGGTATAGACTAGCAAGTAGTCCAGTTGGAATAAAACTTAAATAGATCATGACAGGCTGTAGATCCTGTCAATGAACTGTGTATTCGATATCTGCAGTAAATAGAGAAGAAGCAGAGAGGCTATTTCTACTTTGGCAGATCACACATAGGTGCTATAGGCAACTGGGTGAGCCACACTTTAGGTTTAAAAATAGCATAGCTATAAATAGAAATCACATTTTAATGAAAATATAAAATCTATATTAAATAAAGTTGTGACATAATCATCAAAAAAAAATATATATATATTATTTTATTTTAATAGCATTCTTGTGCAGTAGTTGCTAAGAAACTTATTACTAAAAATATTTACCTATCTGAAGATGATCTTAAAGAAGCAACTAAAGAGTACCTTAATGAAAAAGAACCAGACTTTTATAAAAAATTAGAAAATATGCAATGGAATACATTTTATAAAGATAAATTAGTTAGCCCTGTAATGTTTTATTTAGTTTTCAATAATTTGGTTATATTATATTTATATTTTTTATTTGATTTAGTATCATTATTTTTCTAATTTTATATAATTCGATATTTATCATTATCTAATAATATTATTATAATTCGCACTAATTCGATTCTTTTCTTTCTAAAAATTTGTTTATCATTAATTTAGCTCCTTACTCAACTTCGTTTATAAAGAAGTTGGCTAACAACAAAAATTAAAGATATAATTTACTTGGTTTATAGTGCATCTCTTTTAGACCAACCTGGTCTGAATCCAATATCAAAGAATATTCAAGATTGGAAAGAATCTGCTAAAACAAGTTACGCATATAAATTGCTTCATAGGAGAATAGATCCAAGCACGCCACATACCTATTTTAACTGGATCCTTTTGCGCATATGGCCTAATAGTCCCACTAATATACAATTAGTATACACTTTGACTGTATGTCAAATGGTATTAAGTAAGAATTATGAAACTCTAAATATGAATAATGAACCGCACATAAAAAAATAAAAAAATATTGTAAGTAATATATAATTAATTAATATTTATATTATTTAAATATATGTAAAATAATTTTAATAATTTTAAATTTAATAAAAAAGGATAAAGTAAAAGATTGCTCTGCCTTTCGTGCAATGGCTTCTGACGAAGAAGAATCTGTCTTAGAAGATGAAGAAGAAGTCATAGCTTCTTCTGCTTCAAAAGGTCGGGGTCGTAAAAGAAAAATAACAGTTGCCTCCACTTAACCAAGTAAAAAGAATAAATTAAGACAATCCTCTATTCCTATTATAGAAACCTCCTCCTCCTCTCATAACATTGATGATTCAGAATATTTATCCAATTCAACTTATGAAAAATCGCATTATTCCAAAACAGCCCAAGTCATACCACCTCTATCAAAAACAACTCCTGTTAACCCAGAAATACAACAACAAACTGAAGATGCTATCAAGACTAAAATATTTTTAATTTAGATTTTTAGCTTTTATATATAGCCGATTATATAAAAATATATATATCGCACTATGTGATGTGCTAATTTATCGCATGTATATTTAAATTATAATTTGTAAATCTGTGTAACAACAAATTTATATACGCCAAAAAATTAATACTAGATTGGGTTAGGGTTAGGGGTTAGGGTTAGGGTTAGTGGTTAGCAGTTAGGGTAGAGTGTAATATATACCAAAATTTTGTGAGAAATTTTTTTTGTTAGAGCTTGAAAGGCAGTTTCATAGACGGCATTTTGAGCTATTTCAAAATTTTAAAAATTTCTTTATTTTTGTTACACAAAATTAATTTGCATGTTACACCTGATCTTCAAATTTAATTGGTCAATTGTTAAAAGGCGATGTATAAGCACATCGCAGCATGCGATGTCTAATTAAGTCCTTTTACAATTTCAAAATTTTGAAAATTTAAATTTTTAAAAAAATTGCACTTTTGGCCCAAATGGAACACCGTATCATTATGACCATTACTAGGTTTATTACGCCAAATCATAAAATATGGAAAAATTGTTAAATGTTGTACGTATGTACGTACTTACAATGTTTGAGAACTCTATAAAAAAATAAAATCATCAATGATCACACAAAGTTATTTTATAAATATTCATTATATTAATTATTATCACGAGTTATGTAAAAATTTTTTTTATATTATAAGTTATGTATGTACAGTGCGTACGTACATGACCGTATTCTCACCTGTTTTATTTATACAAAAATATATTTATGGCCTTAAAACTTTTTTTCATGTTTCATATCTTGATTTTTGCAAGAATTAAGCCTATTCTGGGGAATAATTTAAATAGCCGTGATGAAAATTGTTATACCCCACGAGATATTCCATCAGATAATCCTTTAGGTTGTTATGTATTAAAAAATAATTCTGTCGATAGTTTAAATGGCCTTTCAAGTTTAAATTTGCCTAACGTTTACAGGGACCGTTATGGCTTTATCATGGATCCTGGATTATGTATTATCCGGTGTACTGATTTCCTCTTTGAGATTGCAGCACTTCGGAATGGGAGTCAATGTCAATGTGGAAATTACACTAACTTAACACCATCATATACTATAACAAATGACTCAATTTGTAATGTAAAATGTATCGGTAATTCAAGTTATTATTGTGGCGGGGAAGAAAGTTATACGGTTTATAGAACAAAAGATGGTGTATTAGGTCATCCACTCCCTACCATAAGTATTACTGATAAAATGGCAATAATTAAAAATCATAATAATAATAACCGATACCAACAATGCGTTAAAGACAGTCCCTTTTGTGATCAAAAGATATTGAATGGTACGAAACTAGAACTTGCAAGCATGACGGTTAACAAATGTATTGACTTTTGCAGACAAAACAATTTTGAATATGCTGGATTAGAAATGGGAACTCAATGTTTTTGTACACATAATTATGATCATATAAATCAGTTAAGTTCAGATGAATGTAGTACTAGTTGTGCTGGTGATAACAATCAGATTTGTGGAGGTCCTTTAGCTCTTAGCGTATATAGCACTTCTAACAATATCCCATTACAAATAATTCTTCCTTGTGTTTTTGCTGGTGTTCTTTTATTAGCGTTAATAGCTACTGCTGCTTGGATTATTTATAAACGCAAGAAAGAAAAAAGGATTAAGGGTGAGGATCCGCCCAGTATGCCACTACCCCCTCAAGACAATTAAATTGGGTTGGTAGATAAGTTTTTTAAATATTAGATTTTAAATTTTAGAATTAAATTTTTTATTTAAAAAAAATTGTTTCAAATCTATTTAATTTAAAATTAAATCGTCTTTTAACTTTCATGTACAAGCATTTATATATTTTAATTATTTATTTTAAATTAATAAAATTTTTATTACTCATTTGTATTCAATATTTTTATTTTTCCGTTTTGTTTGCGAGATAGATATGCATACATTTGGTGTCAACTTATTAGTATGCAAACTGAGTATCTGATATGCATGTACTAGTATGTGTACAGTGCAGAAAATCTAGAACTCTTAATCTCTTTATATAGAAATAAAACGCCAAAAGAAAAAAAAATCTTAGAAAAGATTATCCAAATTTATCAGCCTCAATAACAATTTATTCATTTGTTCAAAGAAATTTTGCCGCAGTTACATAATCTTTTTCCTTGGCGTATTATTTAATACGTATCAAATTTTTTTTTTATATTTCAGTCCACTTATTAGTGCGTAATACAAACTCCTAAAGAGGAAATGGCTGATTAGAGAACGTATGAAAAAAAAGAAAATACTCGAAAATTAATGCTCCAATTAAAAATGACGGGAACGAAATTTTACAAATAAATATCAATTTATTGCTGTTCTTTTTGGTTTGTATCACCCGGTAAAATAAGTAAATTCCTTAAAATCTTAACATTAATTCTACTTCAAATGTAAAATTAGAAGCAAAAAATGCATTTTAAAGTTGTGCACTGTACGTACATAAAAATTTAAAAATTTTATAAGTTTAGAATTAGCAATATTTTAAATTAAATATCTTTAATATTCAAAATTATATTAAAATTTTTACATATTACTAATTAATTATATGTTAAATTTTTTTATTTTAACTTAAAAATAAGAGAAAACATGTAAAAAAAATTTTAGTTGCCAAATTTGATCCCTAAATAATTTAAGAGATAGTAATTATTTATATACATACTTTACTAAGCCAACTGCAGTTAGTTGATCAACTACTGAACTAACTTGAAATATTACTTTATTTTTATGGAACTTATTTTCATGACAATAGTGCGTTACATTTTGAACTACCACTTATAAATAGTAGTCATAACAATATAAATTACCCTTTATTAAATTAGTATGAACGAGACAATCGGGAGTATCGGGGACTATTTATACATTTAGCTAACATGACTACTCTATCGAATATGTGAATAATCTATGCTTTATCTACAAGAGCTTTTAGATCTATTAGCACTTTAAGTATTCTTGTCATTCGAGGTCCTAGTGCGACATTACAGTCATGTATATGTGTTTTAAAAATGTAGAATAAGTCACATGCTTCAGAGACATGAATGACCGTGAGGGCTGATAACAATGGAAAGTTCATCAGGCTATTAGGCCTATCAGTACATGTTAATTACGGCCGCAGCCAGCACAAATCCCACAAATTATTACTAACAAGACAATATCACCAATTCCAGCTAAAACTGGATTTCCACAGCAAGCACCCAGGGCAGACAAAACTGAAATAATCAAAAGAATTATAAAACCAACTACTAATAATACTCCAAAACTAATAAGTGCTTTTTTCTCAGAACAACCTCCATAACAATTATCTAAACAATTCCATAAACAGCAACAAATATAATAAGGAAGACAAAGGATATATACTAAACAATTTATAACTCCAAATTCGCTGGATTTACTAGAATTATTGTCTTGTTTAACTACTAGATTTGGTATACTAGATTTATTGTCTGGCAGATTTTGTGACGGAGCTGGAACTGGGCTTTCTATATTTGTAGGCGAGACTGGTCTTTCTACTAGATTTGTTGAATTTGCTGGATTAGTTACTTGAGCTTCATCTATCTGAATTTTAACATGATCCTCAGGAAGTTCATCTGATAAATTAGGAACTGTTCTTGTTAATTTGTTTAATTCATTTAAAAGATCCTTGATATTTGCAGGCGAGACTGGTCTTTCTACTAGATTTGTTGAATTTGCTGGATTAGTTACTGGAGCTTCATTCATCTGAATTTTAATATGATTCTCAGGAAGTTCATCTGATAAATTAGGAATTATTGTTAATTTGTTTAATTTGTTCGAAAGGTCCTTGTATTTCAGCGCCAATGAATTATTAGGTTCTTCTGATAATAATTTATTCAAATCATCAAGTGCATCTTCATATCTGCCCATAATCATATACGTTTTCCCTCGGTGCATCAAGTCACGTGCACTATATTGATTCGCTAACGATTGTGTTAGATCATCGCTATATTGATTAAGAGCTTCAATCCAGTTTTTCTCCCATTTTTCTCTACTAATTTCTTCGTCAGTTATTGTTAAATATTCAAATTTCTTATTACCAAAATTTACTTCTACAATACCACCTTGTAATCTTAGTCCGATACAAGGATACAACTTATCCTTTAAATTTTTGGATAGGTAACTGTATTTTTCTAAATATTCACCATTACTAGTATAAAATACCATCATATCTTTACAATTTAAATAACATCCAATTGTAACTTCGGTGTATAATTGTTTATACTTTTTGTCACTTCCAAAATAATATAAATATCCTTTTTCTCCATGATAGTCCCATGAGTCATTTTTCAGTTCAGGTAAGTGCTTGATATTCGAGCTATCTGATACATTTATATTTAATCCAATTTGTTTTGTACAAAATCCAATTCCGAATATTCCTTCTTTTCCTTTATCAATAATTTTCACTTCAAAGTAAAAAAATCCAAGCCTTGGAGGAACTACATTGTTCGCTCGAATTATAGGAACATCTTCATTATTGTCAGGACCCGTGTAATTCACTTTATTTGAATCTACGTTTAAAAATGGCGACTTATCTTCAACATTCCACGCATTCGGCAAATCATTAGAGCTATGTGAAGATAATGAACTTGATTCCTCCATTAAATTATTTTAGTATTAGAAAAGATTAAAAGACCAATAAATAAAATTAATTTAAAATTCTTACATCTTTTATGAATTATTTTTTACGATTACAGTATCCCCCCAAAATGAGCACCCATTTTTTTTTATTATAGAAATGCTTATTTTCTGATATTATCTCAACCAATAATCTGATGACTTGAACCATGGGATTCTTATTTTCGGGGTGAATATTTTCGGAGAATACGGTAAAAATTTTATAAATTTGGCACTTCATTGTTGTATAATGAGATGTGTTAAAAAGGAATAAAAGTTTCTTGATTTTGCAATCGCTTGTGTAAGTAATTCAAAATAATAACAATAAAAAGACAATGAAGTTTGTTAATTATCACTCTTATCGTTTTAGTTGGATCGACAATCTGCATAATGTTTTTTGAGTTCCGTTAGTCCGTAGATAACTACTTTATGTTCGTCGTATTTTTTAAAAAAATTAATTCATCAAAAAAATGGAAATATAAGAATTCTAAAATGAGTCTCACAAAATATGACGAAGATGCAGTGATACCTTCATCGTAATCACAGGACTCATAGGATTCATGCAGATCGTCGATCCAACTAAATCGAAAAAAATTATTTTGTTTTAATGTGAATACTGATGTTTGTTTTGTTCCATCAGAATAACATTACACGTCCATGAAGAATATGAAATTCGAATGCGTAATAGTAATAAAGTCCCAAATATATTATTATTTTTAGCTGTACCAGTACCAGGAACGGAGTGTATGGTTATACGCGTGTGAAGTGTTTCTGTACAAATCCGTGCTTTTATGATAATTCACAATATCGTATACTTTATAATGAAATAACTAATTTAAACATTTTCTTGGTCTTTTCCTATTTTTAAATTTATTCATAAACAGCTACTTAAATAGAGTGCTATTTTTATTAGTTCGTGATTTTTTTTAATATTTTATTGATTATGTTTACCAAGAATGGTGTTTACAGAAATGAAATTGTGAATGGTTTACATCTCTATGTGTCTGCGATTCCTAAATGCGATCCGTATATCCTCTAGCTTTAAATATGAAAACGGATAGCGGATCGCATCTTATGATCATGTACAGTACCTTTCCCTCTATATTTTTTATGGGCATTTCGGAATTGCTTGGTGAATATGCGTACATAATTGACGTTCGGTTAAGATAGCTATGGCATTTGTGATCAATTTTCTGCCTGTAATTCTGTATTTGACGTATTGTATAATGTTTTGATGTTGTAATACCGTATTGTTGAAATACTGTAATGAAAAATTAAGTGATAAAAAATTAGAAAAATTGAAAATGGTATTGTTGTATATGTATTTAATATTTTATAGAAGAAAGTTAACAATTTTAATTAGAAAGCAGGGTTAATAGACATTTACGTAATATGGCAATATTGCAACACGGAGTGTTTACTGTCTTTACAGCATTCAAGATTTTATTCATAATTAATTATGGCATATCTCACAATGCCATAATTTAGTAATTACAGTGTCAATTATTTAATAATCTGGTAATATTTTATATTTTCAAACTCTGAATATAATCTATTGGTTCATCCATTTCTGGTTTAGCACAATTACGTTACGCAGCTACCTTATTTAAGTAACACAAATCCTCAATTAGCGGAAACCGATAGTGAGAGTTTAAGCCTTTTATAGATAAGCACGATTGAGGCTAAAAAATTTGCTACAAATTATATATTTTTAGCTAAAAATTCGCATGAAAGTTGACAAAGTCATTATTTGTATGTGACTAGTTGTGCTCGTGCGTTTACTTTGCTTATCAATTGAAATCTTGAATAAAGTTCATCTGCATTTTTCAATTTTAAAAATATTGATCAATTGATTAAATAATTGTTTCAATACCACACCAATTATATAATATAATTCAGTTCGAAAGCAAGTCATTGATTTAAAATTATTAACTTCATATCTTTAAAGAAAATTTCTAAGCTAACACTATTGTGTATACACGGGTATTAATTTATTGATTTGCAAATCCAGGAACCATATAAATTCATAAAAAAAAAAACTACTTAATATTAGGGTTAGAGTTAGGGTTAGAGATTAGGGTTAGAGTGTATTTTATATTAAAATTTTGTGTAGATTATTTTTTGTTAGAACCCCCAAAGTAGTTTAATAAGCAAATTCTAATACCCGTGTGTACACACTAGTGTACAAATAGTAATTCTCATGTTTAAAATATCTGTAAATAATAATTGTAATAAAAATAAAAACAAAAAATAAAAATATAAATAAAGAAATAAAAAGAGTTAATAAATTTGTAACCGCGGTTACTGTAACCGCATCCAATAAAGCCAATCAAATTTTAAGATCAGGTGTAACGTGAAATCAAAACAAAAATTGTTTTTTTAAAGAAATCATTAATAACTCGAAATTTTGACTATGAAACAATCTTTTATGGTCTAACAAAAAAAATTCCTTGCTAAATTTTGGTATAAACTGTGCCCTTTACCATTCCTAACCTCACCCTAACCCTAACCTTTAATTGTATTTTTATAAAAAAAGACTTATTTTGATAATTACGTTACACCTGACATAATTACGGTTACAGTAACCTACGGTTACAAATCAATTAATTCTTAAAATAAATAAAAATAAATTTACATTTAATAAGTTTGAGTTTAATGTAATTATATATTTCTTCTGCGAGTTCTATATTTCAGTGAGTTCTCCGGTTATCTAAAATATGCATATAATTACATATTTACAATTCATGAACAAAGTTAATAATTACATGTTAAGTGCAAAAGTAGCAAATTTCGCATCTTAGCACAAGACAATTTCTGTTAGCTATTTTGCTAAAAAAAATAGCGTTATTTTAGATGCTAGAAAAATCTGAGGACTCTAATCTTTCGTCTTGATTTCGGATTTGGAATTTTTATTACAAATCACCGAAACATTTCGGAAATGAAAACAAGTCTATTGCAGGTGACCTCTTTCATTTGGCACCTGGGTATGATCATTCAATTGCGTGACAAAAAACTATTTGCTATATAAAGCTTATAGTAAATTTTTATTTGTCACATAAATGATTGGTCGCATCCAAGTGCCAAATGAAGTGGTCACCTACAATAGACTTAATCCTATTAAACGTATGAGTTGAGGATTAATGATTCGCCCACATGATTAATATCAGGATACATTTCAAAAATGTTAGAATTTACAATTAAATAGTACCCGATAATATTTAAAGGATCCTATGTTAGGGAGTACTATATGCAGCGCTGTACGGTAAAAACAAGAGAAAACCTGGAATGGTAAGCACAATTAAAATTTAGCTGTATTTGGCTTAAACTTGATACATATCCGTGTTCTGTTCTTTATTATGGTAATTGAATGCATATACTTAATCTTATTAGTATACTAACATTGTTGAATAGCTATTAACTTACGCAATATCACAAGTCTGACATTGTTATGGAAACTTAATATACATTTACTGTGGATATGAACCATACTATATCTAATGATAATATTAAATTTTAAAAAGACGAAATGTAATAATTTATTTTTATTTAAAAAAAATTATTAGATGAATGAAAATTGAATATGCATTTTAAATTTATTATAAATCTTTGAAATAATAAAAATTTAAGCTCTTGCTTCAAAAAAAATTGCGCATTTTTGATTTAATTAGCAATATACATTCACAATGACATGAAACCATTGAATTTTCGGATCTCCTTTATAGGTGGTACAATATAGAAATTATAGTAAAAAAGGGTTATACCAATCAGATCGAAGATCAGGTGTAACGTGATATCAAAAAAATAGCTTCTCAAAATTTTGCTTACCGTATAGCCGCGGAATAACGCACAGGGGCGTTATTTCGAACTTTGGCCCGAATTAAGCTTAATTTAGGCCAAAATTTGAAATAACGTCCCTGTGCGTTATTCCGTGGCTATACGGTATGAAACTACCTTTCGGTATTCTAACAAAAAAATTCCTTACAAAATTTTGGGTTAGAATCTTTTTGCTAAAGCGCTCTACCCCTAAACTAACGAATTAATTTATTGTTTTGATTTCACGTTACACCAGATCTTATGAGGGTTATGCG